ATTTGAGGGTAATTCATCAAATAAAAGGAAAAAAATTATGAATTAATTAATTTTGAAGAGGCTACACCTTATTTTCATGTTCATGCTTTAATTACCCCCACAAATTGGTAATCCATTTTCTTGTCATTTGGAAATTTGGCAGATCTACAGCTATGTGAACATGATGTTGTACAATTTTCTATAATAGGAGTCGGATACTGATTACTGATTATTGTTTTATAATGGAAGCCTTTGTGCTCGTCAATTGTACATGTATGCAACCAATGAGTGTGTCATGTAGTGTGCAAGCCAATTTCATAAAATTGCTTGATAAATTGTTATCATTATTAAGCGTAAATGCCAATTCCAGTTTTGGATAATGGCAGTAGTAATCCTTTCTACATAGATTAGTTACATGTACTGAGTGCCCTTTTTAAAATGTATTTTCAGATGAAAATACATATTTCCCATAAATGTTTAGAAAAACATTTTAATTTGCTTGATTTTATCAACTTCATATACCTGTATCATATCCATGTCATGACCATGTACACTGGGTATTGCTTAAGTGGGTGATTTTGAGTTTTCTAACCTACCAGATAGTGTAAATTGACCATCCCATCTTTGGTTATATGACATCATTTGGAACAACCTCTATAAAAATGAAAACCTCATGATTTGCAAACACACACCAATGTAAATAGCAAAATGAGAGGTTGAACAATAGAAATTTGCTATTCTCACATCTATCATTGCCCCTCATTTGAACTAGTTAAAGTATAAAATCGTCTGTTAACAGTTTAATGTAACGTCCGAAACGTGCTAACAGCATACCAGAAAGTGCTGTTAAAGTGGCTGAATATTTGTTATGAGTCACTTTTGTTGAGATTTTTCTGATAAATTACAATTAAGGATATACTGAAGCAGCCGGCCATGCCTTGCATCACAAAGTGTGGCTTCAATATGTTATGTTTTATAAGTCAATTTTGCAGAAAATGTAGATATTTTACGGATTATTTGATTTTTGGCATCATATTTCTACACATTTTTATATTTAAATCTAAATAAAATCTTCAAAATAGTGTTTTTAACAGGAGTGTCCATTATGAAATGGTAACTTGCAGATATGATCGAAAATTAGGTAAAATTTGTCGACTTTGTGTTAACAAGAAAACTGTGTGACGTCCGAAACACCATTCTTGTGATTACAAAATATTAATGGATTTGAAAGACCTGATTTGTGTTTTGACTTGTGTTAAGACTTATAATAACTTATTTCATAATGATTTATTCACTCTAGAAACCTTAAAATATGGATCATCATCATTCTATTGGTATTTTTTGTTTCAGACGTTACAACTGTTAACGCAAAATTGGTTTTAACTATAAAATAGTATTGTAGTAATGTATTTCAAATTTCTTTGTTTTGGTGGGTAGCTGCCATGAGATGTTAAAAAAATGTTATGATAGATATATCCTGCTGTTCATATATTTTCTGCTACTTCAAATTGAAAACTGTTTCGGACGTTACAAAACTGTTTACGGAAAATGAGACGACTTTTTCAAATTTTGAGTATATTTCTAATATAAGCGCTACTATAATAATCACTGTATAACCCTCATCAACCTTACAACGATTATAGTTTTGCAAATATTATCACTTTGTGCTAAGATACACGTCGTTGTTTGATATGAAAACATGTACAAATTTATTCATCGAAGTTAAAAGCGGGACTGCACTACTTGTAGCTTCTTGCGCCCCCTATATAGTAAACATAGCGGTACCCGTTGGACCCCCATGATCCCCTTTTTATACAATAGATGGCCGTACCCAAATCTTAAAAGATGCCAATAGCATGAACTTTCTTGCTCAAAGATGTTACATGTGTAACTAAACGTATATAGGCGTATATACTAAACCAAGAAAGTAGGCCTACGCATGTTGTACGCAACCGTGATCAACCGTATTAAGCAACCGTAAGCAAACCTGTACGCCAGGCCTACGTAAACGTTAGCAACCCTACGCTTGTTATAGCAATTGTACGCATATGTACACCAATTTACATACGCCTGAGGTACGCGGTGCATATGCAAACGGTATACGTAATCATGAGCCAGCCTACGCATTACCTACGCAGGGACTACGCCGAAGTAACATTTTTTCATGAATACACAGCCTAATTTCGGCGTAGTTGGTACACCACACTACGCAACTCTACGCAGATCCGGTGTGAAAGCGGCTTTTGGCGTACCTATGCTTACGATTGCTTAGAACAGGCGTAGGGTTGATTACGTATACGTAGGCTAGAGAGGAACCAAAGTGCGCCAAAACTTATTTTGGGGGATTTAATTTATATAAATCCAGATAATGATTTCAGAATAGAACAATGTGTAAGACAAGGTTGTCCGCTATCAGCTTTAAACTGTATGGTTGCCAAAGTTATGGCTGTGAGAATAAACCAAAATACCAACGTAAAAGGTATTTGTATTTCTTTGAAAAATCCACCCGGAGTTGTAGAGAATATCAATATATCTCAAATAGCAGATGGCACGGTAATTTGTGTTAATTCTATATAAGCTGGAAACATTGCCATAAAAGAGGTAAAAACATTTGCGGTCTTAGCAGAGCCAAAACTGAATTTTAAGAAAACCAATGTCATGTCAACTGCTATTCAGGTAGAATTATTAGACGATGTAGATTGGAATAATGATCCCATTAAATACTTAGGTGTGTACATAACTCGGGGAAAAAAAAGAATCGGAAAGTTTAAATTTGAATTTGAAACATGAAAAAGTAAAGTCGTTGCTGAGAGTTTGTAAAATGAGGAACCTGACATACTATGGGGAAATGAAAATTATAAAAATGCCTATTGCTTCCCAATTTGTATACATTTCGACATGTTTACCAATTCCACAAAATATCGTTGTCAGTCTAAACAGATTTATTTACAGCTTTCTTTGGGGATCAAAAAAGGAAAAAGAAAAAGAGCGGTTGGTAATTGTCCTGCAGAGAGGTGGGTTTAAACATGGTAGATGTTCAAACCAAATTTCAATTATTGCAATTATCTTGGTTTTCAAAATGATTTGAAAGGAGGTTAAAGTCGCAATGGAGAATAGTTTTCAGATATTGGGTCAGTTTTATTCGAGACATACCCATTAGCTTTGAAGGTAAACTAGAAATGATAATAAGTACAAGAAGGAAAAAAAAGACGAAAAGGAAGAAAAAGAGGAGGAGGAGAAGGAGGAAGAAGAGGAAAATAATGATGAATATGTTGAATTTCAATAACGTACAAAAACATAAGTATATGCAAAATTAAAAAGAATGAACCGCAGAAGAAGAACAAAATCTGTATTCAGGCTATTTTAATCAAATAAACATGTCATTTGCTTTTCTCCTCTGACACTCAAGTGTTAGGTATTCCTTTAATTTCCGCTTGAAATGAGTAAAGTTTGATATTTTCCTATTATCATTAGGAAGGGAATTCCAATGTTTTATGGCAATGTAATATAACGAATATCCAGTACTACCTACTCTTTCTAGTAAGTTAAAGTTGAATCGGCTATTTCTTGTATTATAATCATGTAATTCAGTAACAAAATCGAAGTGGGATCAAATGTAATGATTCGGCCTAGTATGATATATCTATGCACTTGATGCAATGCGAGTTGTTTTGATCTCTGGTTGACTTCAAGAAAACCAGACTTAGAAAGTTCGCTGTAGCCAACACGAGTTCTTTGACTAGTACATTTGATGAATCTCACTATTTTGTTCTGTTAAATTTTCAACTTCTTCTGATCTGACTTGTTATAGAGATCCGGTAACTTTGTCTCAGAATCTGAAACAAAATCCTGAATTTAGCTCATGCTGCAATGATAATTATAAACCTTAAGGTCAGTCAGGAACTCCATGACTTTTACAAGCCGATCGCCTGTCTGATTATCAAGATATTTATGATTGGAATTACAAATTTTAAGAACCGATTGCCAAACGGTTTTCATAACACTTTAGTATATTGGGGAAAACGAGTATGGTAAAACCGGTCACTCGAAGATTTTTACTTTGTTTGAGGCACTTCTTGATCATTTTGAAGCGCAGTTTTGTAGGGCTTCAATATTACTCCATATCACAGACACTGATAACACGTATAGGGCCGTGCATATCAGGTTTTACATTGTTAAACGATGCCTTTAATTGTAATGTTATTATACCATGCAGCGTTTGCATAGTCAAATAAACGTTGAATAAGAACAAAACATAGTATACGTCTTGCTTTTATTTTAAAATCCATTCAACTTTGATATCTGTACACAAATTTCAAACGAGCATTTGCTTTTTCATCGCGATCCGAGTCCCCCTCTATGAGAAGTTTGATGATTTGATGGTCCACAAACGTATATCATCTATCGAAGGAGCCTCCCCAATCCTTGTCAACAACTCTTGTATGAATATTCGATGAATAAAAAGATAGAAAGCATGAACAGTCGGTAAAACATACACCAAACGTAGCCTATGTACTTTACACAGAGCGTGCGAGTGAACGTCCGAGTAATCTTTGTAGATATGTTCATGTGACCTATCACATGTTGACATCATACGACTCCAGTGGCTAATTACGAACTCGCTTTTTTAAGCATTACCCTGTCATAATTCTAAAGTTGTTTTACAATTTGTTGATGTTATCTATAATTTGCACCCACACGTTTTCATTTTGTTAGTTACACACTTTCTTTTTTTTCCTTCTTTTAATGATTTAGAATTATCTTGTTTCCCTTTCTTAACGCTATGTTAAATACATGCAGTTCTGTATTATCTCTTTGAATCATGGCGATGACGAGTAAGTCCTGTTAACAAGGAACGTAAACTTATGCTCATGGGAAAATATTAAAATATCAAATTGTACATATCTCAAATGATATATTTACTTTCCTCGGGATTCTTTGACTATAGCCCAAGAGAAAGACAATACCTGGCTATGAAACTGTCTGTTGGGCTGTCAGTCTACTTGTATTATCCTATATCATTAAACAAAGCGACGGACGCATGTGATTGGCTCCGGGATGTCCTTTAGGCGAAAGCGAATGATGGCTAGCATCACGTTGCGGAACTCTCTCCAGATCCCGGCGTAAATCAAAGGGTTAACGCAACTGTTGACGGCCAACAGCAGGCCTGTCCAAGGGATGCCCGGGTCACTAAGAAAACCGGAAACGCTCACACCGAACGGGAGCAGGCAGATGATGAAGGCTAGTACCACAACGGCATGTTTTTTTCGTAACTGTGATGTCATACTTTTGGTTACATTTGTCTTCTGGAGGCCACCTTGATTGATTTTCAGAAATTTCAAGGGGTGTCAAGTTGCCCTCTCCATTTGATGTATATGTTACGGCTATTAATGATGGTGCGTCAAGGTTTGAAGTTGAACGGCTTTGTGTGATCGTCTCTTCATGTGTGGAAGTACTCGGTTCAGTTAACTGAACCAAGTTCACATTGTCCAAGTTACGCGTCTGGGGTGCTCCTTCCTGTATGTGCTTCTTAGGCTTTTTACTATGTCTGGAAAGAAAGAGATAGATCCGAACGTAGGAAACAACGATGGCAGTGAACACAGGCATGATTGCACCTGCCATGGCTATGGAACTATATAAGTCTGAAGTGGGAAGTGACGTATCCTGCGAGCATGACTTGTACTCGTAAGAATATCCCAGTCGGCCTAACCAAGCAAAGTGAGGTACCAGAACCAAAATAATTGGGTACAGCCAAGCGCTTACCACCATGAAGCATATGTTTCTAGTTGTATAGAGTTTTTCGGAGAGTTTACGGGTATTTGTCAGCAGGTACCAGCGGTTAAAGGCAATAAGGGCTAGCGTCATGACACTGGCACCCATACAGATCATTACCATGGCCGCATTGGCTACGCAGATCCAACCGGGCAAAGGCCATCCGTCACGGCTTAGCATGGCGACAGCATAAAACGGGAGACAGAGGCATGTGAGAAGATCGGAACATCCCAAGTTGACGACGAACCAGTTGGTGGATGAGCGCAGTTCACGGGAAAGGACTACGGCGGTGATGACCAGTGTATTGCCGATGGATCCCACAATGAAGACTAAACAGAGGATAGTGGCTATAGCGATGCGCTGGTTATAATTTTCAAACACCCAGAGATCCGTATCGCTACCCCTAGATAAGGCCTCTGTTTCTAATATATTAATATTACCTTCCATAATTAATTCGTCTTTCGTCGTCGAGTCGTCTTCTGAAAAATAGAAATAAAAATCATACAGAGAAGTGGTTTACATAACTTTTATAAAATCGCTACTGTCCGTTGCACACGAGGCGTCATTTGACTGAGGTAAATGACTGAGTCAGAGACTAATGTGATCCTTTATGACGCGCCATGTCAGGATGACAAAAAGTGATTGTAAAATAAAAAGTGCAACTTTTGATTCAAAATACTGGAGTATGCACAGATTCAATTCAATAGTCTTAATATATATATATATGTATATAACTCAATCGAAATGACGGCTCGTGTGCAAAGCATAGGGAATTTACATATGACATGGGCAGCATTATGTATATATTTTCAATTGTCGAAAAACAATCACGATTTTCAAATTCAAATTCAAATTCATGAAAACCTCTACATCATATAGAGAGACGAAAAAGGATGATATATGAAAGTACAAGTTCATGATTGGATCTTGAGTGGGGCCTACCTATGATCTTACCCATATCTTTGATCTGAATATTGTTTTGTTTGTTATCAATGAATCATTTTTGTTTCCCTTTAAATGATCCGTTGTTTGTAATATGAATAAGTGAAAATACCAGTCCAATTTGAAATTGATTGACGCATTCTTCCTTGTGTTAATATGCTCTCCACAATCATTTACATGTATTCATGAATTGTATACATTATATTATAAACTTAGGTTGAGTTGTTGACTGACTGACCCAAATGTTTATAGTTATCATTGCAGCATGAGCTAAATCCAGGATTTTGTTTCAGAATCTGAGACAAAGTTACCGGATCCCTTTAAGACCGCAAATGCCTTCAAAGGGCATTGCTCTTATTCTAATTTATGACATTTCTAGTGCCCTTTTAGAACCTAAAGAATTTAAGACCCCAAACTGTGTGAATTTAGAAAGAAGACGATCATACCAATTTAGTTCCACTTTCCCCAAAATACAGAGACCGTTAAACAACAATACACGGGCCGGCTATTTGTGCGTATAACCGACACGAAAAAGCCAACAAAAAGCCAACGTTGTCATTGCCTTAAATAAAAAGGCGCTACCTCGTTTTTTCAACGGTTGGTCCAAAATTACCGAATATTTGTGGGGCACTACAAATATTATGAATGGTTATATTTAAGGAGATTTCAGCTGTCTCTGAACCGATTTTAATAAAACAAAGATGACTTTGTCATTTAAATCGTATATTCTTTCAAATTAGACACTTATCTGTTTAATTATCTCACCAAAATTGTTTTATTTGTGTAGCACCCTCTGCAAAACAAAACTCAACTATCCCTTTAATAAGGGAAAGAAAAAGGTAGAATTAAAGTAGATTTTTAGTTGAATTGATGGAATGGAATTTAACTGAACTTATTGGTGATTTTATATACTCTTGATAGATAGCAGCCTTCCTATTAACATTTCCAACAGGAAGAAAAAGCGTTCCAGAATCAAATGTAATTATGAGAATAATATATACTTACATGATATGAAGATTTACAGACAGAGTGACTCAAACACCTTAGAGTATACAGAGTATGAAGTACACCGACTGCTATAAAACACTTCCTGTACTCTGCTTACCATTATCAGATTGTGCTGATTTGGGAAAGAAGAATGGGAGCAAAAACTGATCAAGAAATGGCGAGAAAGAGAGACAGGTAACAATATACTTTTGTCCACACACGAAGAGAGAAAACTCGTCATGACGAAACTGATAAAAAGACAACAAATGGATTATTGAACCGATTGGTTCAACCATGGACCCTACACGGGTAGGGCTCATAGTTCAACGAAGCAATTATTCTTTTGTAGCGCGTCCCTTATATTGACTGAGTGATGAACACCCTTGCACAAATTAATCTTGGTGAATGTTTACGATCAATTCTTGACAAGATCGTGATATATAATTAGGGGAAAGGTTGCATTCAAAATGTTGTTCCGGATAGTAGGAAACTTGGGAAATATTAGCACTATCGTATTATATTCTTATTTGCTTAGTGTGTTATTTGTTTATTTCGTTTAAGTAGTGTTCCTCTTTCGGAGGCAATTTTAAACGACCAAATGTACAAATTAAACGAGTATTCGATGGAGAGCCAAAGTGTCTTTAAACAAATGAGAATGAAATACGTTTGCAATGATTACCAAAAACAGATTTTCGATGCTTATTGGCAACTCTTTGAGTTTTTTGTTGTCAGATATGAATTCGGGTCATACATATCTGTATTACGCTTAGGCAGACAATGTACATGTATTCAGGCGCGTACGCAGGATTTTTTCAAGGGGGGGGGGGGGGGGGGTTAACATTTATAAATCGGGCCGAAAATTTCGCAACGACTCAGCCAGCCGCTGAATAAGTGGGGGGGGGGGGGGGGTGGGGTAAGAGGTCCCTTTTTCTTTTTTTTTTTTGGTCCCAAAAAATCGCAACGACTCAGCCGACCGCTGAATAATCGGGGGGGGGGGGGGGGGGGTAACAGGACACTTTTTTTGTTTTGGTATCGAAATTTGAAAATTTGACATTTTGCTCCGTTGGGGGGGGGTAAGGTCATCTTTTTGAGGTCAGCCATTGGAATTTTTTTTTTTTTTTTTTAAGAGGACACTTTTTTTTGGTATTGAAATTCGAAAATTTGACATTTTGCTCCGTTGGGGGGGGGGGGGGGGGGGGTAAGGTCATCTTTTTGAGGTCAGCCATTGGAATTTTTTTTTTTTTTTTTTTTTTTAAGAGGACACTTTTTTTTTTTTTTTTTGGTATCGAAATTCGAAAATTTGACATTTTGCTCCGTTGGGGGGGGGGGGGGTAAGGTCATCTTTTTGAGGTCAGCCATGGGAATTTTTTTTTTTTTTTATAATAAAAAAAAAAAAATAAAAAATCCAAAGGGGGGGGGGGGCGTTTTAGGGAAATTTAGGGGGGTTTACACACACAAAAATACCAAAGGGGGGTTAACCCCCCAACCCCCCCCCCTGTTGATGCGCCTGCAGGTATTATATTCCAATGTAAACAATCACATATTCTTTCATTCTTTACAGTCTTAGGTATCAAGAACAAATTAACAAATGCTCAGAGGACTCTTACGAATTTGCAGAATCTGCTGAAAAACTAACTCAATAGTCCGTCCAAAAGCTTTAATCTCGTATTCCAACATGTCCAGTATGTAAAATGAACGATCTGAATGATATACATCAGTGGTACGTCCAGAAACTGATCAACCCGGGGGATATCGATCCCTTCATAGGTAGGGGCCAGGAGTGAAGCCTTATGACTGGGCAGCCCTGCGTAATTAATTTTTTTTTCTTGGCCTCAAACTGGGGCGTTCGTCAGTTTCATCCCGTGTTGAAAACGCCGCAGGATGAATGTTGATATTTATTCTTCCTTCGTAACTGGGTTTTGCTATTACTTTTATGCACTAACAGAACATTTTCTTTTCCACATCGAACTCCCCTAATTACATGCTTAAGCACAATTTCCGTGGTGGGACCTCCTAACGTTCTTGACTTATAATTTGACCCATTTAGGCATTGTTCGAATATCGAATCTAAGTTGGTATAAAGTGAGCTGTTTTAACAAAAAAGTTTGAATACCATGCTCTCCGTTTGCAACAAAAGTTGTCGGCCCAATAATATATATTTTTAAGGAGGCTACGTAATCTTTCATATGGAGGCTTAGGAAGAATAAACAGACAGAGGGAGAAGGGAGAAGGGAGAAACTGGAGAATCGGGATAATTAGTCAAACAAAGAAATCAAAAGGTTGATCTGAGAGAGAGAGACTTAGAGACTGAAAGAAAAAGAGGGAGGAGGTGGATATTAAAAAAAAAGCAATAGGCACACTTAGGAAAAAAAGACTAAAACAAAGTATAGGAATAGCCAAGCAAACGGAAAAAGAGAAAGATTGATGGAAGAGAAAGAGAAAGGGAGATCGGGGGGGGGGGGGGGTACGTACACATACAATCAATATACATGTTAATGGAGAATAGATATTGTAGGATACTTCGGAGATTAGCCCTGTAGATTTAATATACGACAAGGAATCATATTTACTATAGGGTTGCACGCAAACTATTGGCATTCCTCTCCCATAGACTATAACACGAACAATTAGGAATTGTATGACAGTGTTTGTTATTGTCCTAGCAGCGCCTTAATGACAGCCATGCTAAAGCCAGGGTAATATTCAGGAGCGCCAGTAGTGTCGCATGTGACAGACATGAGCGCTATACAAGAACCACCTACTGTAACAGTCGAAGAAGGTGATAAAATAAAATATAAAACGAAAGTAACAACAAAAACTTGACCCACCGGGACCCTTGGTCGCCGGAATTGGGGTGTGTGTGTGTGTGTGTAATTGGGTTTTTACAGACGTGTATCAATCATCAATCAGATATGATTATTTCCGTCTGGGACCGACCTTTAGCGTCACCATCCGGAAGATGTGACTCAGTTTCAGACCTGCGTCCTCGGCTGAATCAGTTTGTAACTTCCACTGTTAGCTGGATTACAGGCGAACGCCACAACGCCTACTAGTTATCGGAATTGGAGGCAAGTTCTTTGACCAATATACCAGAATGTATGATGCAAGAATAATGTGGTTTCTCAGCACGACAAGAGTATCGCCCCGGGTATTGCCATTTTCTTGATAACGTAACGTACTATGCGAAGTCGTTTATCAAGTATTTATTCAAATTTATGGATGCTTCCTTCCAAGACGTGTGTGGTGATGAAGCATTTCATTCACCTGCTTTTTTCTTTGTATTAGAATTGCCAGAACGCAAATTGCATAAATAAGTTGATGCTCTTCTGGGTTGAAGTGTTCTCATGAATGAAATAGATTTGTCAACTACTATAGTGTAGTATTTATAAATGAATTTTGTTACATTTGTTCCCCTGTTATTTATTTGTTTACCAAATATGATTTTTTTTTGTTTTATCTTCTCAGTTAGGATTTGTCCTCATTGAAAATAAAAGGTTTCGTTATTGATTTAAAAATTA